TACGCGCATATGTTAAGAAAAGGTAAAAAAAAGGCGAAGAATGAAAAAGAGAAAAGCAGCGCCGCACGCCGCTACACCACTTCCTTGTTCCGCGAGCGTCGTCGCTCACACGATTCACCGCGCGTATATACACATAGCACCAATCATGATTATGGTTTTTCGTGGCTCTTTTTTTCGTACAGCAAGACAAGAGTATATTTCAACGGCAAATTGACGCCTTTTTTTTCTCTCGCTCTCGCTCGCTCACCTCGATGCTCGAGCTTCAAAATGAATCGCGGGCTTGAAAATCATTGTGCAGCTTCAACTTTATACGTACAGCTTTTTCGATCCGTATCCGCGAGAAAATCTCGAGCATTTCTTTCTCCATCCGCGGGAAATCTCATCGCTTCGTGCGGCTTATCTCGTTTTTATAATATATTTTTATTTTTCTTCGCGCGCTATGTACCGCGCGATTCTCATCGAGCGATCTTGCGATTATCTCTCGGCGAGCGGGGGCACTTAAAATACATGAGCAGCACGAGGCTCGCTCGCTCACACATACACACGTTTATATAAAGTGGAAAGAAATTTCAATGAAAGTGCATATCCTTCACCGTTTCGAGCAGAAAAAAGGAGAGAGAGAGAGAGACTCAGACAGACAGAAGAAGAGAGCGAGAGTTCACGATCTACGGTGTAAAGATCGGTTCGCGAGACAGGAGCAGCGGTACCGAGCGCTATAATATAAACTGCACACATACACCAGTGAAACCCGCATTCGATATAAATGTATACGCACCTACATAGGCCGCTGCCACTGCCGTACAACACATGCATGCGGTGAAAGGTTCATCGACCTCGTCGTCGTCGTCGTCGTCGCGGCGGCGCAAAAGTAATGCACATGGAGCACAACATTCGCAGCGCAGACGAGACAAAGGTTTCAATTATCGTATGTATAAGCGCGCACGGTGAGAAGCGCCGCGTCGCGAAGTCGTCGTTCTCGACGTATCATGCGTTTTTTCGGGAAAATCTTTTTGCCACTCGAAATCGTGTAATATCGTCCAGTTCCTGGTCTCTACGTTCTCGTGTATACGCGAGCTTCTCAGGCAAAAACCAAAAAAAAAAAAAAACGGAGATAAAGTTATACGAGGTAGCTGCCGATAAAAGAGCGAGCAGCCCGCGTTGTAAACGAGATAAAAAGAAAGAAAGAAAGAAGAAGGAACTGCGAGCAGCAACTTTCCCTTTCGATTCTGCGCGGCCTCATCCTCTTATCTCCCTCCCACACGTCTTTTTCGAATTACCCTCGTTTTCGCAGCAAGCAGCAAGCAGCGGTACTCGACTCTCTCTCTCTCCCCTCAACCTCGGTATAAACTGAGGGAGAAAAAATTGAAAAAAAATAAATCACGGCAGACCTGAAAGAAGAAGGAAGAAAAAAAACATCTCTCCCCGGCGTTTAATCCTCCGAGTGCATTTTCGTGTACACGTATTTACAATATACACGCGTATAGTGTACCACACACACGCCACCATGCATACATGCATATAATAATGTAAAAGTCATATCTCAGGCCGATGTATACACACGTATACACAGCAGCGAGTACACCTCGTCGATATATCCGCGAGCTCGCACGAATCGTCGTCGTCGTCGTCGTCGTCGTCGTTGCAGCTATATAGCAGCAGTGAAAGTTAGCCTCGGCCACTTTCGCCCCGGCTCGCAGCTGGTTTCCGGGCTCTCTCGCCGTGGCCAGACTATATGCACTCCGCGAGCCGCGAGAATTGCGCCTCGCTGCACTTATATACTGTTGTAAGCCGCCTATGTTGCGCCGCCGCCGCCGCTCGCGGTTATCAATTTTCTATGCGCGCGCGGTGTTAACGGCCTCTCGCGCTGCGTCGAAAAAAAAAAACAAGGATAACCCATCGCGCGCAACTACACAAATGTATCTATTGTAAAACCTTTTGTCTTCGAGTCAGACTCGCATATTGGCAGCAATTGCCGATATATTTATTGCTACGTACGATAGCGTACGTATCGTGGCGCGCGGAATAGAGTTTGGAGAAATATATATGCTTCGTATCTTCGTCCTTCCTCCTCCCAAGAGTAGTAATAGTCGTACGGATCTCGCGGCGAGAGAGGATTTATGGGCCTTTTAAAAAAGCTCCAGCACGCTTGTCTTACAATAGAGACGCTGCTTATTCTTGAAACTTTTTGTGCGCGTATTTTTTTTTTTTTGCTATATATAGCTAGAAGACGGACTGTACAGACGATGATTAGTTGCATCGTTGTTTTGTGTATTTTATCGATGTCTCGAAACTAAGAATATATCTTGCATACAAGCTCGTGCTCGTAAAATATGCATTTGACATTCGAACGTGAGCACGTGCCGCGCACATTGAAAAATTGTATCTGCGTCTGCAGTCTCTCTTCGAACGAGTATCGCAGGCCGAAAAACCGGAAACGCGGGCGAAAATCGCGCGTACGATTCGAAAGCGCCCGCTTCGTTTCGGTATTTTATAGATGTATATACCCAAAAGTTAGCAGTGCATGTACACCGTACACAGCTGGAACAAAAAAAAAGAAGAAAAAAGAAGGAACACGTCGAGCTGTGTATATCCTACTAAAATGCACAATGATGCACCGTTGGCTTCTTTCTCTCTCTCTTTCTTTCCTCTCTACGGGGATCGCTCGAGACTCTTCCTGGAGACGTGAACGTCCTCCTCCTTCTCCTCTATGGATGCAACTCCTACTGCTACTACTACTACTATTACTACTTGTACTGTCCCCGTCGCTGATGCCTGCGATCGTAGCGACGTTCCTCGTGCACTGCACCGCGCGCGCATCGTGGAATAATACGTTACGTGGAATAATCCGTTTTCGCTCTGTATAGCGTTGCGCTTGTTGCGCATGATTTCAGAACTTTCTCTCGCCGCCGCCTGCCGAGAGACGCGAGCCGTTTAAATGCAGGGGACTTGCAGCACTGCGCGCGAGAGCGAACGAGAGTAACGCGCGCGTGAATGAGTCGATGAGCTCGCGTAGGATTATTACGGGTCTGTGTAACGTACAGACTCGGACTTTGGATTGCCGAAAATTTTCCGATCGTTCTTGTCGTCGCGTCGACATTCTCGAGATAAGTCGAGATAAGAATTTCGCGGATCGAAGAAGTCAAAAAGGGAAAGTGCATCAACTATCCTCCCCCTCTCATACGCGAACGCGGCACGAGATATTATTTATGGCTTTTAATAATTCGTGTGTCGTAACTCGCGATACGTGGTACGTCGTGCTATGCGATACATAGCATATATAGGCGAAAATTCACATCGCGCATATCATACTCGCGTGTATATCATATCGAGGCATATACGGTAGCCCGCCGCACACTTTCTTTTATCGTGATATAGCTCAAAGCTCCACTGTCGTCGTCGTCTTTACTTTAGCGTCGCACGCCGATGAATGATCGGGTAGTTCGTACAGTAGTCTATCCTTCCTTCCTTTTTTTTTTGTTGTTGCTTTGCCTTTCCTCTCGTTTGACTTCCGATTCGATTCTATCTCGTCGACAATCAAGAGACAGGCCAGCGTTATAAACGCGCTGTCTCGTTTTGGCGCGTTTTAATGAGCTTCGCGTACAGCGCGGGCAATTTCTTTTGCCCCCCAGGGCAGCAGCGGAGCGATCGCTATATATGTTTTAAAAACAATCTAATTCAAAGTCAAGTTGCTCGGCAATTGCTCGCGCGCTCGCGTTCGCTATTAATCGGTATTATATACATACGGCAGTTATAGCGGCGGCGGCTTTCGGATTAGATTGTAATTAGCAGGTACACTAAACGATTTAGTTTTTTGTTCGCTTACATACATACATACATACATACGTCTTCCTCCTTCCTTTTTTCCTTGTTAACTTTCATAGAGGGTACTTAATTATCATATCTCGCGCGCGGAGGCTAATCGTTTTTCGTACACATATATTTATGTATCCCGTGTACTACACATACACACACACACACACACACACACACACACACACACACACACACACACACACACACACACACACACACACACACACACACACACACACACACACACACACACACACACACACACACACACACACACACACACACACACACACACACACACACACACACACACACACACACACACACACACACACACACACACACACACACACACACACACACACACACACACACACACACACACACACACACACACACACACACACACACACACACACACACACACACACACACACACACACACACACACACACACACACACACACACACACACACACACACACACGATATCGTTACGCAAAAGCCGTCGTCGCGGTAGAAGAAAATACCAAAACACTCGTTCGGGGGAGGGTATATGTAAGAAAATTGAACGCCATCTCTCGTACGCGTAAGACCCTCATTAGGATATATTAGGGAACTCGAAATACGCACGCGTGGGTTATGATATGATACCATATACACCAGTGCGCACACGAGCGTCTCGAATTACCGCCTGGACGATACTCCACTAAAACACCGAATAAGAAGGATAGAAAGAGAGAGAGATATGAGGAAATGTAAAATTTAACGTTGCGCTCGCACGCGCGCGGGAAAGCGTGACGGATATCACAAGGAAGTATAATGTGCCTGGCAAAAAAAAAGTGCGTAGTAACAACACACGCATGCGTACGGCTTGGCTTTTTTTTTTTAACCAAGTTCTATAATGACTGTATCGAGCCTTGGTTATCTATCGTGGTGTATAGATGGACTTGTAGTATAGGCACGACTGCTGTTGTGTGGCTATTATTCACCGGTTAATTACAAGACATAGATATAGATATGGTGAAGATTGGAACCGTTAAAATATAATATTAATTAATCGTTAATTTTTAGGAGGGCGTATAACAATAATCGCATGTATAAATTTACATTATAATGCTTATACGTATAGTATTAATATAATTATGATCATGCAAATTGGTTAGATAATGACATAGAACACTTACTGTGAACCGTAGTGTTACTACTTTGGGAGTTTTTGTTAGTCGAGGAGGTGGTCTTACCTAAAACAAAAACACATAAGTTTTAGTCAATCACTATCAGTTTTTTTGTTTTCTTTCTGGATAATTTTTCAATGAAGTAAGTCATGGTTTTACATTTATTTACACAATATGAGTATGGGAGGGAGAAAAAAATACACATATAGGGTAAGTAATTCGGTTGATTCATTGGATTCGTCATCTTGGTCATCGCAAGAGCGAGAAAATCGGTATGTACAGAGAGAGAGACGATCGGCGCTCGGCTATTCGGCCACTTTCCCCTGCAACTGCACACACACACAGCCGCATATCATCGTTGCGTAAGCGAGCGGAGAATTTTTAAACTTTCTTTCAACTGCGAATCTCAGCTCTCCTCCTCCTCTTACACTTTTTTCCGTCTCTCTCTTAACACCGATCTTTTGCCGGAATCTCGAGGCGTGCATAATGATACCTTTTGATCGTGTATACGAAGGAGACGTTACCGATTTTTTTTTTTTTTTTGCTAAAAAATCTCGGACGGTGAATATAAAAGTGCCGCGTGCACACACGCACGCACGTTATAAAGGTAATTTCATCGGGAATGAGCCTAGTTCCTCTACCACCACCAGCTCAGTTTCTGCATACATACCACCTCTTTCTCTCGTTACGTAAACCGATTTTACTTTCTTTCTTGAAAAAATTCCACCTCGCGAGAGATATGAGTCAGGGGATAATAACACACATTTTGCGCGTGCGGCCGTCAATGATCCAATGTGGTACATATATGCGCGAAAATAAGAGCAAAACAAATATATACAACACGCGCGGATTTTGCACGACTGCTCTGAATGTTCCGAGCGAAATCGAGAGCGCCGTATAATATAATAGACGACGATGATGGTAATAGCCGGACTGCGGAAGCGCACAAGCCCCCGCGCGCGACTGCACTTTTACTCTCAATGCGTAGAGCTACATACACGCACGTAGTTGTTGCTACAAATAAAAGCTTTAAAACTTCGGTCGCGTGAATTGGATGTGTGATGTAATTTTTGGGGGAGAAAACTCGAATTTTAAGGCGTTGTAGAGTGCAGTACAGAATTGTTGTTATCTCGAGATTAGAGGATAAAAAAGTTGTGTAGTCAAAAATGTCGCTAAATTTATGTGCATATGCGGGCTTTCGAGTTTCGTGCGCAAAAAGTGTCTAATTTCCAGTGCAGCACTTAAATAAAGTCATAAAATTAATATCTCGTTTAGCAGGAAGTATAACGAGTGGCGGTAGATATATAGAGCTGACCATTCGTCAGTCAACGAAATTCAAAAGATTCAACTTTTTCTTACACATATTTTTAGTAGAGTGCGCACGATCGATAACGAGATATCGACTGAAAGCAAGAGACGAATTTTCGTTCTTACTTTTCGGCCGATTTAGCCTAGACATGCACGTGGAAAATTTGCGAACACTTGCCGTTTCAGCGCTTACGCAATATCTCTTTTTCCGACTAGTTTCATGTACGCTCTTTATCCGGTCTTCCTCTTTCGCGCACAGCCGAGAAAGTTTGAAAGCGTCGAAGCGATGGCTGCTTCGGGCGCCCGTTCAAATGTGTATCTCGAGCTTCTGCATGCGCAGCTCGGTCGTATACGTATGCAACTCGCGAGCGCCTTATTAATGCCGCGTATGTGTATAATAAATTATCACCGAAATGGAAAAGAAAGTAAAAGTTCTTTTTTTTTTTTTGTGGAAATTTGACGCGCAACGTGGTGTCGCTCGGTTAATGTTCGCGGCTGTGCATTAAGGTATGAGCAAGTGTGCGCGTGTGTGGTTTAACCATCGATCAGTATCTACTGAGATTCCTCAAAAACGTCCACGTATTTGTACATTGCTTTTGACTTTGCCACTTGTAGATTTTGCAGATAATCGTGTACTCGCCATCTCACGGTGAAGACTGGATTCATTTATGAGCCACTACCCAACGCAAAGAATGCATAAGTAACTAAACTATTCGTTGACTTATAAAAATTCAATCATAATTAAAGCCAGCATCTACCACTGGATGTCGAGTACCTTTGTATCTGTAAATCTGCAAGAGTAAAAGTGAAAATAACATTTTATAAGATTTATTTGAGCGATTTCAATCAATATTTTGTATATTTTGTACATTATTTCCTTAAAAATAATGTACACGATTGAATTTTCCCAAATTTTTAGTACAGTTTATGTAAAAAAAAGAAAATTTATATGATTCATTATAATTTTCAACAAATTTCATCAAAAGTATTCTTGAATAAAATTCAGTATCGATTAAACTTTCGTTCTAATGTTTGATTTTACAATGAATCTGTATTAAATTAATTTTATCTTTTTTTCGTACCCGCAATCGATTGTAATCTCAACTACACAAATTTCGCGCCAAATTTTCCCGCGCTCGCGCCTCGTTGTTCTCTCGATCGTTGACAGCTGCTACTTCGCTCGCACACTCCGAAACTTATAAAATATATTCACGCGTTCTTTTATTTTTCCTCGACTTAATTATTGTTATAAAGGCGCGAACGCAAAATCACATGGAAGAAGCATATAATACGCGATGAGAAAATATATACGTTTGTAGGTATAAGACATCCTCGCGATTCCTCGACAACGACGTAGACGCGCGCGCGCGGTGCACCTCTTCCGCGTGAAAGTCGGCATTTAAAATATACGAGTAAAGTGCGCGCGGCTTCGTTAAAATTTCACGTGGGATGACGTGCAATGCTCGCGCAGCGCTGCACTGTATACATGTGGGCGCGCGTTCCACCGACCGGCGATAAGCGAGCGAGCGAGAAAGAGAGACGTTTTTGTGCCATTTTCATTTTTCCGCATTTTACAATTGCCGCCGTCGTTGCCGCTGCTTCCGCGAATGATTTTGCAACCGATTTTGATGGATGTATACACAGTCATCATCGGCCACGGTATATCAGCTTGACTATTATTGCTATGTTTCCGAATGCACAACAATCGACGAGCGAGTTTTATTAGCCGTCATAATTACTCGACACCTGCAAATAAATACAACATTTTTTTTCTCTCTCTCGAAGTTAGCTGCTCCCCGCTGACCGGTATCAATCAAAAGTGTGCAATAAAATAAATCTAATCGATTTTCTTCGAGCCTGCACACTAACACACAAGCATCGAAGTCGTCGGTGCGAGAGAGATAGATACCATACAGATAAGGCATAAATCAGCTGTGTGTGTGTGCCGCGACTCCAACGTCGATTCTTCGGTATAATAAATTAAATAATTTACAACTCGCCGCTCGCGCGCGCGCTTTGAGCCGGCTGCGTGCAATGCATTTATTATTATAAGCGAGCGAGTCACGTTTCACGACGCGATTATGGGACTTTCACACACACATATACGTGGACTTTTTATACACAAGTATACGACAGACGATTATTAATTATTATACATGGAGCGAAATATATGTGTATATAGATCGATGCATTTGATATACAAATGACAAGCTTTACAACCGCGCGCCTCGATTATATTGGATAGGCGTGTAACTGCGTGCGACAATTAAAAATAGCGGTAATGGGACGACGACAAAAAAAAACAATTACTTCTCCCCCCCTTTTGATTTTGATAAATGCAATCGCAAAATAGAGGGCTAGGGCAGTAAGAGGCGAGCGCGTCGAAAGCGCGGGAATATATAGAGAAGCCCGGATGAGCCGGACGATCTAAAAAATTGTTATTAATTTCTCGCCCCCTTCGTAGAAAATGTAGTGTTGGCTGCACGTGTGTCTGTGTGAGCGAGCTTTATGTAGGTGAGCTTTAGTCGAGCTTTGTAGTATTTTTCTCATAGAATTTTTTTTTTCGAGCATACGCGTCGAACGACAATAACGTGAAAAAAAATAAGCGTGCGTACGCTGACCAGTAGTATATCCGCTTTGAATAATCGAATCGAAACTAAACACACGAGCTCGCGAGCGAGAAATAAAATTGAGGCACGCGCGTCCACACTAATACAGGCGTACGATAGTATAGTTAATAAAAGTAGTAGTATTGAACTTTAACCGTAGATTCCGCCGTTCTCTCTCTCTCTCTCTTTCTGACTCATATACTCGTCTTCGACGCGCAAATCGATTTAACGCTCGTTAATGTTTATAATATCGCATCAATACATACAGACTTGTATGTGTGTGTGTGTGTTCAATGTACCGATTTGCCGTGCAGTACTCTGCGGCTCATGCGTGTCAAGGACGCACAGCAGCAGCAGCAGCAGCAGCAGAAGCGTCAAACTGCTATATATACTATACTGTTATACGTATACGTAGTCTCGGGTAGAAGCCAACCAATTTCCGCGCGACTCTGACCTTTAGAAAAGCTTTGGCCGCCGCGCCGCGTGCAGCAGACACGACAAGAGAACAGCTTCGGAGGCAGCTGGCTGTCATTTTTACAGCCTTTTAATTCGACGTGTGCGACGACGACGACGCGGCCGAGCGAACATTGGTATATAAGATGTTTCTTTTTTTCTTCTTCTTCTTTTTTCCTTTTCCATTTTTTTCTCTCTCGACTTAAAAGTCAGAACTATGAGACTCGCGCGTACAATCAGATCCGATACAGCGTGGTAATTGAACGTTCGTTTTTTTTTCCTACACGGACGAATGCCCGTAGCGCGCGCAGGTGATGATACAGCTGGATCCGCGCTAGGCAGACGGCCAACAATTTTCACTTTCACGGCTCACCAGCAACTGCAGCGGGGTACATTATCATTAAAGTACGCGCATCGTATCGTGAACTTACCCCTACCTTCGAAACTTGTGTATGATTTATAGACCCGAGTGCGTACGTATTTTAATGCGCGAGTTTCTACCATTGTCTGCCTGCTTGTGATTTCGCTTTATAACTGATAATAATTTTCGAGATCGGATTTTTGACATTCCCTTGCCCCCCGCGTGAGCTAATATAACATATTTTTTGAAGTACTCCGCGAAATTGCTTGTGTATACCGCCGCGCCTCTCGCCGTTTGAATACTGGGTCAATTAGGTCGATGTGTGCCATATATTT